GGAAGCAGCCAGCTTGTGGAAAACTATGGAAATCAGCACGATGGACAGGTCACCGGTTGTCACTAACCGGATCTGGGGGGAACTCACTGGCTCAGTAGGAGGTGGGGCCGTGGACACTTCCTGGGCCCACTTCAGCCCCGGCCCTCACCTAACATTGAGTCTACTCTACAGGGGCTGGAAAAGGGAACCCCAACATGGGCCTTCTCTCTTCTACCCTTCTATCTGCAGGCTTGGGCCCACCACAGAGGATGGTTCATGCCCTCTAGCCCCACAAAGATTCTATAGGCACAGCTCTACAATGGCCTGGTGGCCCAGTTGCACAGGGGCCAGCAGGGGCCTATCTCTACCACCTGTGTCTTCCTGATCATATTGGTTCAGGTGCCTGACAATGATGAGAGGCACTTATGCCCGAAAGCTTTGGGGAGGCACACCCCAGTTCTGTGCTAAGCAACAAACCAGGGACTCAAGTCACATCTGGGCTAGTTACCAGTTACCTATGTGCAAAGAACAAGTCTTTTTCCTACATGTGTATTTGAAACTTGGCAGATCAGCAAGGCCTTTCATCAGTCCTAGGAGAACCCCTGGGGTTGGGTTTTGCCCCTCATGGGAAGCCAACCCAGTGCCTCAGGCTTTGGCATAGTCTTGGGAGTGGCTGGGACACTCAGTGTCCAGTATGTCAGAGTTGGCAGCATATGAACTGGTGTAGGTTTTATTGTTAAAGGGAGAGAGTGCTTAACCAAAGCAATTCAAACCAAAAATCAATTTAGTCATTTTTTTTAAAAAAGATCTTAAACAAAGAGTTTACCAGAATTTAGATGTAATTTTCTGTAATTTTGTCATTTAAAACTAGTGCTGATTTCCAAAACAAAGGCAGTTGGGGTGCAATCAGATTGGGAATTAAACCCATTGGAGATCTAGACACGGCTTTGTTGTTGGGATGCTTGACAAGGCCTGAAAATTGCTCAAAAGGATAAAGATAGAGACTCACGGGAGCAGGCAGGAAAGAACGGCTAGTTGCAGTCATTGCTCTGCTTAGAGGCAGGGCCCCCGAGATGCCATCGCAAAGGCTGTACCTGGGGATGCTGAGAAGTCGTGCCCAGAGGTCCACACTTCTTAGGGCCATTTACTCTCCCCTTTCAAAGGCGGCCTGGAGACCCCAGCAGGGCAGAGCACCCACTGCGTCCCCTCCTGCCTTCACCTGGGTGCAGACCTGGCTGCCGCCCCTATCCGCTCAGCAGGAGCAGGGGCCTGGCTGTCTGGAGCTCTGAGGGAAGGCAAGTCGGGGAGATGAGCCCCACCAGCATCGGGTCTGTGCCCCCTGCCCTCCTGCCCCCTTCTGCACTCCAGCTGGACAGACCCTCAGACAGGCCAGGAGTGAAGCCTGTTTGCTGGTGCCCTCGGCTCTGACCTCAGGCAGCGGCTCACCCCTCGGGCTCTGTTCTCAGGGATCTGTCCTGAAAATCGCCTTGGGGCTGGGGAAAGGGGTTAACTGAAGGTCGGGCGAGAAGTGCTGTTTCCTGGAGCCACACAGAGCCACTTTTGGGTCCTCACGCAAAACCTTCAGGCCGCTCAGGTGGTCTGGGAGTGTCTCCTAGGCACACCTGAAGCCCGGGGGCCGCTCCTGTCCAACAACACGAGGAAGGTGCTCTTTTGGGGAGGGACACGGCTCACATTCCGAATGTGCTGATGGGTGGAAGGTGGAGAAGGCCCCCTGAAGGACTGTTCCATGGAGCCCTGAGAAGAGCCAATGGTTCCTGCTCATTCCGTACTTGGTCTGGCCTTGGGGTCAGTGGCGAGAGAGGCTTGGACTGGAGGTGGAAGGGGCCTGGACTCTAGACTCCGCCCTCCCCTCCTCCTCTCCGGCTCACATGTCCTCGCCTCGCCCCTCCCTCCCCTCTGCCTCTGTCTGGGGCCGGGCTGTCTTGGGAGGGGGAGGCCCCACTGAGGCCTCCAGGTCGGGGGAGGCCAGGGAGGAGCTGTCGGCGAGCACAGGCCCTCAGGAACCATACTCCTGTCTGAGCTGTGCAGTGGTGATCACATGGGGGCGGGGCACAGACGTGGGCACACAGGGAGCAGGTGGCACCAGGACTTACCTTTGGGGTGCCCGGGGTCGGTGAACCCATACTTCCCCACGCCAATGGTCCGTAGCATCTGCAGCCCCTGGGCTGAGTTGGTCGTGGGTGGCCCATTGGTGGTGGGGGCATTGCTGGGGAGGGCGGCAGACGGCTGGGCCAGCGGTGGTGGAGGCAGCAAGGGCCCTGCCATGTGGCCGTTGCTCACAGCAGTGGGTCCTGGGCGGGCCACCTGCCCCACTCCGGGCAGCGTGGACATGGCCAGAGGTTGCGGGCTGGCATACAGGGCCTGGGCAGGCATGTTGACCACCACGCTGCTCAGTGGCTGGGAGGGTGGCTGTGGGAGCGAGTAGTGGCCAGGCATCAGCGGGAGCTGGGGCCCCACGCGGGGAGGCAGTGAGGGGGTCACCCCAATGACCGGGGCCTGGACGTTCACAGCAGGGCTGAAGGTGGGAGGCTGGGCCACTCCACAGGAGTGTGCGATCAGGGTGGGCTGGCTTCCGGCGGCCACCGTGGTCACCCATGGCCCTGTGCCTGCAAGGGAGATGGAAAAGATGTCATCTGCTGGGTGTACATTCACTCGGCAAGCACCGACTGCCTCAGGCCCTGGGCTGGGCGCCAAGGTCACCGAGGTGGACAAGACCCCTGAGTCCGAGGATGCTCAGATCAGGACCCTATGGTTATGGTGGCACAGGGTAAGTGCTGCTGGTATGAACAGACAGCTGTGGGGGCTCAGAGGAGGAAGCATGATCTGCCCGGGAGAACCAGAGAGGCCACAAAGCAGAGAGAAAAAGCAGTCACCTTCAAAGTGATCTGGGTTCAAATCTGGGCTCTGCTACTTGCTAGCTAAGAGCCTGGGCAAGTTGCTTATCTTCTCTGAGCCTCATCCTTCCCATCTGTTAAATGGAACTAGCAACACTTGCCTCATAGGTTCCCGGGGAAGAATTAAATGAGGAAAATATATTTGAAAAACAAACAAACAAACCCAGCAGAGTGTCTGGCATGTGCATCAAATGCTCCATAAATGTTGGCATTTTTGCTTTCTGGAGAATAGCTGTTTGAGGGAGACGGAAAGGAAGGTGTCTTGTGAAGATAGTAGTTGTTTGCTGGGCAGGGTGAGAGCACAAGAGCCAAGCAAGGCAGGAGCAGGAGGGGGAGCAGGGGTGGCGGGGGAGGCCAGTAGGGGCTGCTCTGCTCAGCCTTGGTTGGGGACCTGCCTCGGTGCTAAGCAGCCTCTGCAGGGCCAGCCCTGGGGGAAGCAAGGGAAGTCCATTTGGGCTCTTAAGGAAATGGTGGCTGAACAAAGGTATCCCGACAAACCTCCTGAGACCTAATACAAGGTCCAAGGCCAGCTGTGAAGAGCTCAGGCAGGGCAGGGCCCAGGGTGCACTGAGTGGAGCTGACATTGGGGTGACCTGAGCAGGCTTGTGAGTGAAGCCAGAAGGTACCGTGTCAGGAAAGGCCACTGGGGCTGCCTCTGAGCTAATGAGCCCCGGTCTAGGTCTCCATCACCCAAATGCCATTTTGGCCTCCGTGACCTCTCTGCGTGGTAGTGTGAACCGCGGGAGGGAAGGCTGAGCAAGAGAGAGGGGAGAGTGGGCGCCATGGACCCTCAGGACCCAGCCCCAGAGGCTAGAAGTGGGGCTGGGCCTCCCTCACAGAGAGGGAGGGCAAGGCAGGGCAGGAACTGTGATGGTGGGGCGACCATCAGACCCCCAGAGGGCACTGTCCCTGAGCAGTTGTCCAAAGGCAGAGCCAGTTAGCATGGCACTGGACTGCCATGCCTGGAGTCAGACAGACAACGTGGCCATCCTGGTTCTGCCCCTCGCTCGCTGGGTGGCCTTAGGCACAAGCTTCCCCCTAACCACTTTGCTCATCAGCAGTGGGGCAGTAATACTGCCAACTTCACAGGGTTGTTACGAGCGTCAAGACAACACCCAAAATGAGGCACATAATAAATATGCAACAAACAGCTCTGGTTTTGATAACAAGAGAGGTTGGAGAAAACAAGAGGCTGATGAATGTTGGTGAAGCAGCACCAGCAAGAATGGGCTGCTAAGGGGTATTGTCCCCAAGCCTGAAGAAGAGGAGGTGGTATCAATGCAGGTCAGTTTGGCATCTTAAGGACAAGGTATGTTATCCTAAGCTCAGTTCTCTCCAGGATTTGCCAGGGAGCCTGGAAAAATGCATCAGAGCACAGTTGGTAAGATCTCAGATAACTTTGTAGTGAAGATACAGAAGTGCTGTGCCACGGAGGTGATTGATTAATGAGCTGCGAATGGCCCAGAGGAGCTGGAGACCTGGAGCTCTCTTCAGATGTGCACCAAGCCCTGCTCACCATTTTTGCCCATGATCTGGATGACGACATGGGAGATATCCTAACCAGAACTGCAGGTGTCATAATGCTGGGAGGGTTAGGCACAGGTCAGCAATGAGAGCTGGAATCTAAGTGATCCTAAGAGTCATATAGGAAGATGTTGACAAATCTTGCCCTTGGGTCCCCACACCCAACTGACTAAGCCAGACCGTGAGGGGCTGAAAGGGGTCAGAGCGGCCACCACGAGTCCTTGGGTCTTACTGCCGAGACAGCATGTGATGTGGCTCCTGGCATGTGAGAAGTCATCTAAGGCCTCAGTGATCCAAGCAAAGGAGGTACTGGTTAGACCACCGGGGGAATCTTTGTGCTGGATTCTGGGCCCTGAGGGATGTGGAGAGAGGAACAATTCCTTGGAAGGTAAAGGGCCTGGAAGCCACAGGCTCTGGGGCATGGCTGAAGGACTTGAGGTGTTTATCTTGTCAAGACTTGGAGGTGGAGGAGTGGG